CCTAAACCATAAACCCCTAAACCCCTAAACCCCTAAACCCCTACACTCCTAAACCCGAAATCCTGAACCCGAAAGCCTGAACCCCTAAACTCCTAAACCCTAAACCCCTAAACTCCAAACCCTAAACCCCTAAACTCCTAAACCCTAAAGCCTACAGCGGAGCAGGAACTCCAGGTCTTCTGGCTCCCAATCCAACGACTCAGCTTTAAGGGGTTTAGTTTAGGGTTTGGTGTTTAGGGTTTAGGGTTTAGGGCTTAGGGTTTAGTTGAGGGTTTAGGGTTTAGGGTTTAGGATTTAGGGTTTAGGGTTTAGGGCTTAGGGCTTAGGGTTTAGGGAGGGGTGCCAAGGATCTAGATCTATTCAAGTCTTACCGTTTTCAGTATAGCGTTGTAGCCGGGGTTATACTGCTTGACGAGGCGCCTGAGAAGGGTTCTATGAGGGCGCATTGAAGCTTTGTGGTGATTCACGTCGGCTGTTTGGTCCATAACACCCTAAAAGCCCTGAACCCTAAACCCTAAACCCTAAACCCTAAACCCTAAAACCCTTGCCCTCAACCCCTAAGCCCTTAAACCCCTCAACCCTGAAATCCCTCAACCCTAAACCCTAGATGTACATGTAACACATATGCTTTCTGCTCCGGAGGGTTCTTATGTTCGGACTCAAGGGTGGGTGTATGGACGATAATACGTACATGGATCCTTGTCAAAACACAGAGAAGATGTCGCGGCCTTTCTCATCAGAATATAGTGTCTCGGTCGTATATCATGCAAAAAAAACGTGACAAAATGCGCAGGTATAATATATATATATAGAGAGAGAGAGAGAGAGAGAGGAAGAGAGAGAGCGACAGAGAGGAAGAGAGAGAGAGAGAGAGAAAATGAGAGAGAGAGAGAGAGAGAGCGCGAGAGAGAGGGAGAGAGAGCGAGAGACTAGAAGTGGAAATTGTTATTGAGCACTACGGTGTCTGTGTTTGCTTTGAGTAGGATAAAAAGTACCATAGTAAGTAGGGAATTCATTCCCAAACTAGATATAACTGGAGTCACCCGGCTTATAATCCAACTTTTGCTTGCACCTGAACCATCGAGCATGTATAGGAACGATGGTTTCGGCACTTCCATGAGGACTCTTTTCTGTTCCGAACTTTTCCTAAGCCCTGGACGCTACACCCTCAACACCAAACCTTTCAGCCCTTGAAATTCAGATTTTGGCAGGTCCGGTGCAAGTGCCTCAGAGCTGTGCTCCCAAGGTCCCCTAATCAAGAACCGAAACTCCTCTAAACCCTAATCAAGAATAGGGGTTTAGGGTTTAGGGGGTCGTGGTATTGAAGACTCAGGGCTGCGAGGGATAAGGGTTTGGGATTTCGGTAAGTAAGGGTTTAGGGTTTAGGGTTTAGGATTTAATTATCTTGACCCTGATGATCCTACTGTGCCTAACTACACAGGGATCCCTTTACGGCCGTCGACTTGTTCACCCTGTCGCTTGGAACCTCGAAGCCATTGTGAACTACTGTTTAGGTCCTGATAAATGGCCCGAGAAGCTGCAACCCTGAAGGCGATAGTCGGGAATCTTGTGCTCGTTGTGTTCAGTGGGTTTAGGGTTTAGGGTTTAGGAGTGGTCTATATCAAAACCGTCAAAAACCGTCCAAAACACTCAAATCACATAGACCTTAACCGAAACCCTTCTTCGAAGCCCTAAACCCGCCCCGCAAAAGTCAAAAGGCTGGCGAATACAAACAGCCAGGCTGCCGTGAACCGCAAGCATGCCTTGGTCAAGCATTGCTTAGAATTTCGGAGTTTAGGAAATTCAGGGCTTGGGGGCTTTGGGGGTTTAAGGAGCCCAGATACCTAGTTATGCCTTAGACCCTCTATACGCTGCCTGGCATCCAGGGCAGAAAATCCTGTTCTGTTTGCTGCTGGGCTCCTACGGAGAAACCCAAGAACAACCTCCTAAACTTCCTCAACGCCTGCCCTATTTAAGCCCCTGATGACAGCCCAGAAAGGGGTCAGAAACAATCTCGCATCACGATAAAGAAGCTTTCGCAACTACCCCAAGGGTCCTAAGTCCCTACGGTGTAGGGGTTTAGGGTTTAGAGATTATTGGGGTTTAGGGTTTAGGGATTAGGGTCTAGCCCAGGGGTCTTAAAGGGTTTAGGGCCCAAACATAGTGGTAATTCTGACGATAGAGACCCGACCTGCTACTATACATCACTAGGAATAGTTTCGTGGCACTTGGCTAGACCATCTTGCGGAGGACGCGGAGTGCTTGGAAGTGCATCTTACGTGGCCTGGCTAGCGGAGGAATTAATCCACCGGAAT